CCGGGAGCGCGGTGCCCCCCCTCACACCCACCCTGCCAGCCCCGCTGCCCGGCTCCGGGGCACCCAGCCTTGGCCCTGCAAATTCTGTGCCTGAGCCCCTGCAACCCCCCAAAAAATCTACAGCGGATTTTTGATGGCGCAATTAGAAGTCCCCGTGCCTGAGCCCGTGCAAGCCCCCCAAATAACAGGTAGCCATTTTTTCATGGTGCAATTAAAGTGGCTGCGCCCAAGCCCATGCAGCCCCCTCCCAAGTAACAAGCAGCAAATTTGTGGTGGTGCAATTAAAGTCCCTGAGCCTCTGCAGCCCCCTCCCCAAAATAACAGCCAGCAGGTTTTTGGCGGTGCTGTGCCCGTGCAACCCTTCCAACAACGGGCAGCGGGTTTTTCGTGGTGCGGTTAAAGCGGCTGTGCCTGAGGCCATGCAGCCCCCGCAGAAATCGGGCAGCAGATGTTTGGTGATGCAGTCCCTGTGCCTGAGCCTGTGCAGCCCCCCCGAACTGCAGGGAGCAAACCACGATGGTGCAAATATAAATAAATAAAGCGGCCGTGCCCGAGCCTGTTCAACTCCCCCAGATGATGGGTAGCAAATTTTTGGTGGTGGAAATCAAGTGGCTGTGTCTGAGCCTACGTGACCCGCTAAAAACTGGGGAGTCAATTTTTGCCGGTGCGATTAAATTGTCCGTGCAGCCCCCCAAAACATGGGTAGCGGATTTCTGATGGTGCGAATAAAGTGCCTGTGCCTGAACCCATGCAACACCCCCCCCCGTGCAAAATAACAGGTACAAAATTTTCCGTGGTGCAATTAAAAGCTCTGCAGTTGAGATGTCTGTGCCCGGGCAACCCCACGGACACCAGCGTCCCCCCCCGTGGGCACGGCCCCCTCCTGACGCGCTCTCCGCTCTGCCGCAGGTTGTTACCAACAGGGATACCCAGGAAACTTTGCTCTGCATAGCCTTCGTTTTCGAGGTCTCGACCAGCGAGCACGGCGCCCAGCACCACGTCTACAAGTTGGTCAAGGACTAGGGGCCCTCGGGGACGGGCAGGGGCACGAGGGGCGCGCAGGGAGGGGGGGGCCGTGCAGAAAAGCCACCCGTGCCCGTTGCCTGGTGAGAAGTCATTTGAAGAGAGGAGGAGGAGGAGGAGGAAGAAAAACAAAAGCCAAAAAAGACTGACTTGCGATCGCAGATGTTTTCTACTTAGGAACAGTTTCTTTTTTT